TTTTGTATGGGCGCCGACACCGAGACGCGTCTGCCGGGTGAGATATAGCTGCTAGGATAGCAAAACTTGTCCACTTCCTCTACTACTTCCCCAATCAGTGCGAGTTTGGGTGCTGGACCAACCCAATCCTGTAACAACATTTTACACTTCGGAGGTGCAAAACGCATGCCGAACATGGTTACACTGGCACTCAAACTATTCGGAAAAGCTTGCAGCTCACCTGGATCTTCACTTAGTAGCACAATGTCATCTGCATAAGCTAGATCAGACAGTCTGCCACCTGGGAGTAAATCGATGCCGCTATCCTCGCACAAGGATAGGGTTGTTTCCGTAATCAAATCTATAACAAAGTTAAATAGAAACGAAGGGAGAGATAGAAATCCCGTCGAACACCACTTTAAGAGATGAACTCGGGTGAGAAAGTGTCGTAAGCTGGAACTCGGTCTCGGCTATTAGTAGTAAGGCATTGTAGGATTGAAATAAACTTCTCGGGCACACCCGAGGAAGGAGTGACTGTTCTAGGATTTGACGAAGAGTAAAGAAGTGGTCTATACGACTTCAACCAGGTCGAAAACCACCGATCAGTCGGTGTATACGCGGATACGACGAATAAGCATCGACGCTTCGTTCTGTAGCTGTTGATCCGTACTGAACCATCCAGACGTACAGTGCGAAGTCGGCTACTAACCGGGATCCGGTCGAGAAGTGAACGCTCGGTCTCGACACTCAGCGCAATCCCAACACCAATAACACCGCGAGATTCGGCTTCCGATTCGCCTGAAACACGGAGGGTGAAGCGTGAGGACGAGATTGGATCAGGAGAACGCAGGGAGATGATTGAAGTAGGGTACTGTATGCAGGTTTTGGGGACAGTTGAGGCAGCTTGTTGATCGATCTGATAGCTTACGGACATTAAAGTGAAAAGGATACTTCGGTTTTAAAAATTTGATAGGCTCTGAGTGGATGACCTCATTACTTGAACGCTGAGTGATATGGGTGGCGAAAACAGAATGCTTCTCCTAAGTTTTGGGAGGGAGAAAAGGAAGTAGACAGATGAGAAAGATGGTTTTCCAAATGGGTACCTAAGACTTTGGGGCATGGCTTACTTCGCGGTGGCCTACACCGACGAGGAGTTTTTCTTTGGTACCCCTAACAGGAGCCCTTGACTCAAAAGTCTGACCCAAAAGGCAGTGAGGCGTAGATCCAACGGGGGAGCGTGAACAAAGCACTCGTGTGGAAGCTTCTGGAGACCTGCCACGCAAGGCCTTTGAATTTCGATTAGTTGTTTCGTTCGCTGGTGCGTTGATTATCGGTTCACTTTTCGGGATCGGCCCTTGGCCTCATGCACCCAATGAGACAAGCGGAACGTGGACGGGACAGCACTTTATTGGCTGGGGGCTGCCCAGCTTGTGTGAGCGGTAGCTGTCCAATGAAGTGCGAAGACTTCTCCTACTGTCGAGAGGAAGCCCCACGTACCCCGCTCCTACGTCCATCTAGCGGGGTAATTTTTGACCGGTAAACTGCCCCTCACCGTGTTTATTTACTGGAGTGACCTCTCCAGGGGCGGGAGTAAAAAGTCAAAGGAAGCCAGGAGGTGCCCAAACAGCTGGCCTCGTAAGACTGATCTTTGTCTGGCCTCTACTCGTTGACCTTTCAGGCATGATTGGGTTTGCGGCTGTAAGAAGTCATCCTGTATACCTCGCAGGGTCATGGAGGCACGCAAGCCATCATCAAGGTGTAGTCTCGTCGTGATAAGTGAGTAGACCAGTGTCCTTATGTGATGGTCATTCCGGTCCAGTTTGATCACTTCAATCGCGTTCACACAGATGTTCCTGAAACACTTCACCATTTTGTGTTGCAATCAGAGCCCAGTTGCACAGGCACGAACACGCATCTGCGTGCGTGTGCACCACAGCCGGGTTCAAGCTACGCATAAATCTACGCCAATGATGTGTAATGTTTAACTATTGGTTGTGACCGCAATCGTGAAAATGAGATTTGCACTTGAATCCGAGTACTTTGTGATCTGCATCTCCAGATTTGACGGGATATATTTTACAATAAGTGTTATGTGAATGCTTTGATAACATTTCCCTGTTAGCACAACTCCGGTTAGGCTGTTGTGGTCGCTCGCAAGGCATACGTACCCGGTAATCTTTTGTCAGATTATTCATGTACTTGTACCCAAGATGTGTTGCAAGAAGAGAAAAAGAGAAGACAGAATTCACACAGAGTGAGGTTGCAAAGATAATGAGTAGATGCACGAGCGCTACTCAGTGCCTTTAACCACCACTTACGGTGATCCCGAGGTCTCCGTCTAGGAAGTCGAACGCTACCAGAACCAGATTTCAGCTCGTGACATCTGCGTTTCCACAACGAATAATAACTTTTTACCGTAGCTGTAGTCATCGTTCCCGTCACAATTTTTTCTCAAAATAGTCATATTTTCACAGATGAATGTCGATAATGGACCACTTTCAAGATAAAACCGAAACACTTTGACGTAGACATACCGCTGGAAGACAGTCCAAATGCGAGGAGAATTGGTGGCGGTGGCGTCGTGGGTTAGTCGCTGCCACCAGCGTGCTTTGGACCCTGGCCCGAGGTTCGAACCCCACCACCACCACCCAACTTTGGTGGTAGGCAGCTTTGTTGTCGCCCGGTTCAATATCACTCCTGACGTAGCAGGGCCTTATGTGGTTCACCACCCCAAGTCCCGGGGTTTCGGTTGCCGGTTACCATCACTGAATAGCAGGTCTTCTTGACTGTGGGATGCGCCCCGTCTGCTGTTCATCACACTCGTGTGTAATACGAAGTACTACTGCTCAGTATCCCACACCCTCGTATTGCAATATATGAATTCTAACAAATTAAAGAGGACGACCCCATAACTTCAGTATTCCCGTGCAAGCGTTATTGTAACTAAAACCGGAAATTTGCCGCTCGAGTAGGGCATTGTCTCGAATTTTCAGTAGATGTACACCACAAGAAATGTTTACAAATGTTAAAGCGAAAAATAAAAGTCTCCAGTAAAAATGATTGCGGGATTATTCTTTCCATTATATTCCGTGCTTTTGACGTCCATTTACCGGTTTCGGTACCCACTGCGTTTCCACAACGTCCGTGAAGTATAAAAAATCTTATTATTTCCTTTTTTATTTATTGAATATACAAGTGTACAGTCAACTTTCAGGAAGGGGGCTGCGGCCATAGAAAGGCTGCCTGGGGAACACAAATTGGGAAAACGGGAGGTGGTGGAGCGGTTCGAACTCCCGGGTCGCAACTTGGTGACCTAACCACTTGGCCACCACCGCCCAAGTATCAAAATAAAATAGTATGGTTGCCAGTCTATACACAGTTTATCAACGGTAACATCCATAACTGGATATTCGTAATATCTATATTTTAGGTAAGCAATGCGTCATTCGTTTTTTGATTTGAAACATATGTTCATGCCTTTTATCTTCGTCCTAGGACAAAAGAAAACTGGGAATAACAAATCAAAATTCCGAGGCAAGGCCGAAGTTATGAATCTTAGCGAGGAATACTCAATTGATGAGTTGGACGTTTTGATCTCCTGTACATCAACAAGTGCGGATGGTGATGCTATTCGCAAATTTATGCAAACAGAAGGTGTGAAAGGAATACAGGGTAAACTTGCAGAGTACTTGAGAGTTCTGAAAGAAGGTAAGCTTTGGATAAGCTTTGGCTTGATGTTATTTGCATTCAGAATACAGCCAGAATCTGATTTTGCCCACCAAAAATGGTCCGAACGTCGTTCAGTCACAAGATTCATGTAAACCGAGCGATGGGACTGGGAATCAAAGTCACACAGCAGCTGCTGATATAGTCAGTCGAAAACCGAAGGATTTATCTGTAAAGAAACTAACGTTGACAGAAGAGTTTTTCTGCACTCCAGATGATTTGTACAAAGTATTGACAACTAAGGAGGTAGGTATTTTGGGTGCTGCTCACTGTTCGTACCTCCCGGTCTTTGCAGTTTTACTTTCACACTCCAATAATGCAGTACGAAAGTAGTTGTGCAGTTTCATGTGCGAACCCGTTTTTGCATTCAGCACTGTCTTTTTGTTGCTCGCATTTGTGCATAAACAACAGACGAGATGAGTCGCAGTCATAATTACGTACTGTTCGCTTATTTCAGTTTCAGTTTTTACCAACAGAAAACCATGCACCTTCGTGCGGCGCACTTGGTTGCTTTCTTTAGACTGCCATTTTGATAAAAGAGCTGAAAGAAGATTGGAATGTTGAGATCAGAGTCAAACGGACGATAAAGAGTTCATATAGACTGGGGTTGCAGGGACAATGAGTAAATGTACGAGCACCATTGTTTGGACACTGTCTCACCACTGGTTGCTATCATCCCGAGGTCTCCATCCAGGGAGCCGAACGCGACCTCTGTGACCGAGTCCCCTGGTTAGGGTTTTCATAACCCCCTGTCAGGTCTTAGTTTGACCGTTATTGTCTTTTTCATCCAGTACCTGCCTCAGAAAACGTCGTGCGCCGTTTTTAACCTATTCGGTGATATGTGCAGCATATGCCCCAACCGATGTGATTGGAGTTTTACCCTTCGCTTATGTTCACTTATTGAAGCTAGTAAACTCACCCGCGATTTGTATTGGTGAATCACAACGCCCCACTGGGTTAGGCCGCTGAGCTCATCCATATTTCAAGAGCTCACGATCGTTATTTGATAGAAAACATTCGTTGTTTCAATGCCAACTTATCAGTAAAATGTGGAGAGTGAGCGTCAAATTGAGGTGTGTACGTAGATTCAACTAGTTCCTTAAACGGTTTATAGTTTCTACCCCTAACACGATAAAACTGATATCTCAATATATTCAGAAGTGGGAGTTTTGGGATCATAGGTGGTTCCTCCCGATCTCTTCTGAAAATGCTCTCGTATGACACCTCAAATAGCCTCTCTGGTGAAGTTTTACCTTCTTCACACGTTTGTACTGAGAGGGAGGTGTTACTGACGAGCACCTAGCGCTTACCACTGGGTTGACTACTTAGCCTCCCTCATCGACCACCCTCATTACTCAAAGTGCGCCTTGGTCGCTTGTTCGACATACGTTTTGCGCCTTCAAGGTGTAAAACGCTATTACGGTATTAGGTCCAGTTCCCGATTTCACTCTGACGAGGTTAGGAATAGAGAAAGTATACGGTTTTCCCTACTCAGACAGTTATCTATCGCCTGGTGAACGGATCGCTCGTGACATCAACACGCATACAGGAAGCTCCTTTGGCATGTGCCAATTTGAAGTATCTGCGACACTTTCGCGACCTGTACTTGTCTGTGAAGGATGGGCTATATGTTGCTATATGGTGCCGAGATTTTTCCTTTAAAAAACTGGAATCGGTGTTAAAACAAAGCTAATTTCACAATACACGAGTTTGGTGAAGCAGCTGAACAAACAATGTCAAGGTTAGACAATTTTAGGTAATTCCTGTCATCCACCAGAGCAAGCGCTTAGTCTCCATAGGTTAAGGAGTTAAGGTATGTGATGCGCACGTCATCAGGTGGAATATCTTTACTCGAGGTGTTTGCCGTAGTGGGCGGAAAACGTTTAGGGTGCTCAAGCTAAAGCATGACATGTACATGAATCCTGATCAGGGGACTCGGACATGTACGCCGCTTTTATCATCCCGGTTGGAGGCCTTGGGGTCAGTGGGGTCAGCGCTAGAGACACTGGGTGCTTTTTCTAGAGTCGTTGATAGCAGCGCTCAATCATTTATTCACTTTTTCGCAAATCTAGTGTATTTCATTCTGTATGTTCACCCTGGCACTGCTTCTTGCTTTTTTACTTCTCTCTACTTCATCCAAATTGATTGCTAAAAGAAAACAACCGCAACCGCCGCATAAAGCTGAGGTTTATTGGTTGTGTGATTTGTACTTCCCTAA